TACTACTCTCTTCTTCTTTTTTTTTTTTTTTTTTTTTCGTCCAAATCCATCCGTCACGGCAAAAATCTCGTCTCGAGATCGATCGAGATTTTTCGGGCACCGGTACAACAGGTTTTTGGGACAAATCCGGACTACACGGGGAGGCACACGCGTGTAGCATGCACGTAGCACATCTGGCCACAGATTCAAGGCCGGACAATCAACTTTGTATAGAACCTCTCGTGGTGTTCGCGTACGTGCACGATATCCAAGGACAAACGCTTTCCCCAATCGCGTTATTTATAAATAACGCTTGTCGATCGAGATCTAAGAAGCGAGCGAGCGGAGGAATTAGATTCGAAGGGGAATTTTTGAAAGGATGAGCTCGTCCAGGAAAAAGTTCGAATAGGAAATTCGACGGCTACTTTATATACTATACTGTTTATCCCCGTTTGTAAAAAAAGAAAAAAAAAAGTAAATATACGCAAAAGTGGATGTGTTTAAAGATGATAGCCGAGCAAAGTTTCCCGCTCGAGGGGTTCCCGATAAGCGGTTGTAAATAGCAGGAACTAAAACTTTTCTTCTACGAAAGGAAGGAAGGAAGGAAGGAAGGAGAAGAAAAAAGATCGATCGCGAAATCCTCCTAGGCCGAAACTTTCGGCTCGATATCCCTCCACTTGTGTTCCGGTATCCTTTGGCTTCGGTATAGCGTTACCGCAAAGGTGGTTAGCGTGCCAACGTTCGGAGAACAACTGGCTTTAGCAACCACCCGCGCCTTCGCTATTCAAACGCTCTTCACCAACAACAATTTTCGAAAATAATTTTCTCTCCGGCAAATGGGCGTTGAAACGACGTAAAATAAAGCTGGGGAAAAATCCGTTCGAGGCGTTACACGACACTCGCGATCCTCTTTTGGCTTAATCTTGCGAAGATGATCTGCTGCACACGTTGCTATCACGGTTTTTAAAAGGATAGGACACGCCGCGTATCACAACGGATACGTTGGAAAATATGATCAAAATGATGATCGAATCGAATTCGAGCAAAGGATATTTCCCCACGAAACGAGATAACACTTCGCGAATACACGATGGAAAATTCTTATTCGAGAAATAATGTTTCGTAACGTTTTGACGAAAAAATGCACGCATCATGGAATCAAACGTTAAGGCTAAACGATCCAGATTAGTCGACCTAAGAATAAAAGTATCGGTTGGCTCGATTCAAACGGCCGTAAACTGAAGCGCCACTGTGAGAATAAGCGGAGAGCGAGAAAGAAAAGTACAGCTCGAAAGTAAAGCTTGGTTTAAAAGTTAAACCGTCTTCCAGCAACGAGATCAAGCGTTAATTCGATACTTCCTGCTGGCTGGACGAGACGAGATTTTTCTGCGAGCATTTACTGCAACGAGGTTCGCGCGAAAACTTTACATTCCATTGATACGTCCAATAATATCGATCGAATAATGTCGATTCTCCTTAATTAGAAAAGGAATCGATCAGGTGGATGGAACGTGTATATATATATATATATACGAGAAGACCAGGAAGCGAGGGATTTGGAAAGTAAAGGAGGGAAAGAAGAGCCGAGTCGTTCCTACCTGCGCGCGAGATTACGCATATTTGTGGCTGAAAGGACCGTCAGGGCCAACGGATCGAGCAACCTTGCGAGCAACCTCCATCCACCAGGTATACACGAGCGAAACGCGCCGGGATAACCGGTTTCCGCGATGTACGTTTGTCGAAACGCCTTAATTACCAGGACCTCCGCTCGTCCTTTCGTCTCTCTCTCTCTCTCCTTCTCGATCCTTCGAGCACCGCAGGGACGTATACGCGGCGTACTATACCGAGACGACCGTTCCTCAACTGGGTCATCGCCGACTCGTTTCGAAATCGAGTAACCGCATCGAAACGTATTACAACCGATACACCAACCCGATAACCGCTCTCTTTACCTTCTAAAAAGATACGTTTTTTTCAATCGGCCTCGCCCAACAATCCGATCGCGCGTCACTTTTCAAATTAATCGATAATCCGACACGGATTTGATTATTAATCGAACGAGGGAAAGAAAGAAAAGAAATAATAATTGATCTTACTAATTACAGAGTAAAACGCGATTCCGTTTTCTTGAAATTATAAGCACGATATATACGGTTATGCTTTGTGAAATCGTGCCGCACGAATAATGCAAAACAACACGCGTATGAAATGATGATGATGATTATCCGTCGTGTCAAATATTTATTCTCCGCGTATGTACGTAATACACGCGAAAACTGTAAAATCGCAATATCCATTATATTATCTGTCGCGGGATTATAAATAACGGGATTGAGGAAGATCGAAGAAGCGATATTGGACGTGAATAGAAGAGAAATAGAATAATAAATGGCGGAAAAGTGAAATGATAAAGGACAACGAACGAAAAAACGGATGTATCGTACGAAGGATGGCCAACGTTGACCAGGTCTCGCGGAGAACCGTTTTCTCGGCAACCGTTCGACCGTACCTCTCCCCGCGCCGTCGTAGAAAACGGTACGATCCTCTCCTCTCCGCGCCGCTTAGCCCCGTTCCCTTTTCCACTGTTTGCCAACCGCTCTATTCACGCGCTCGGTACACACGAATACTGCGCCAGAGATTATCGGCCGAGTGACTCACTCGGGATAGCGCCGAGCCGACTAATCCGTTCGACTATCCGCCACCTAGAACGAAGATACAATCGCATTGTGCGAGACAACGAATTCCGAAAGATTCTCTCTCCTCGGCTCGCGCCCGTGTAACGGTACAAATCGACGGTCGTCTCGCCACGGAGAGCGAATTCGATCCACGCATCTCTCTTCTCCCGCCGCGTATCTTAACGGCGTAGGTCACTGAGGTCGCAAACAAAAACACTCCATTACCCCGTATCTTTCTCTAAGAGAAAGAAATTACTTGGAGAGATACACTCGTTCTACGTTTTCGAAAACACGTTTCGATCTATGCGAATGTCGTGTTCGACACACCGTTGAAACGAGCCGTCCAATGAACAATCGAATCGGACGATATCGAGACACTCGATAACATTCCACCTAGATTTATCGGCGAAGATAAAACTTGAAATCGAAGAAAACGAGAATCCTCGCGTTTCGCTTCGCTGTCTAGGAAGATAAGAAAGAGGAATTTTTGCAAAAAAAAAAAAAGGAAAAAGAAGGTATTTGACAAAGTTCGAGGTTCGGCCTAGGCACGAATTTACGTGCAAAATATTTCTGCAAACTATCTGGTGATCGGAGTCGCGAAATGTCAATACGACGGCGGGTGGGGGAAGGCGAGGAGAGTGCGCGAGAAAGAGACAGAGGAGGGAAGGAATAAAAAGCGCTCGGGCGGTACAAGTTTTAAATGTTGCGAGCATAGAGGATACACATTAGGCGTGTCTCCCCTGAACCCTGTACTCAACCGAGCATAGCGAAACCGGAACCTGAATATATCGGTCCCTTCCATCCCGCTTCAGAAGCTAGCTTCGAGCGTGGAAATGGAAATCCGCCCGCGGACGGATTGTCGACCGATCTTTTATTCCCGATTTCATTCCGAAAAATTTTCTTTTTTTTTTTTTTCAATTTTAATTCCTTTCGCTTCTTCTCTTCGCTTTCCCATTCGAAACGAGACGAGAAAGGAAGAAAATTGCATCTCTCTCTCTCTCTCGTACGTTACGTTACGTGCTCTCGCGTGCGATACAGCCTTAACCTTAACCTCGAGCGCCAGTACTATTTTAACACTACCGCGGCGCAGACCGTTTTCGAAATTCCGTTCAGAATTTCTTATTGACTTTTCCTATAACGTAGACACAACCCATTTTTCAATATTCGCAACTTTCTCTTCATTGTTTACTTTACGAATCCAATTAGCTAAAATCTCTTTCTACATCAAGATACAAATGTCTTTTTGCAACGATGATTTGAACCGCTCGTGGCATGAAATGTCAGGTAGGTTTGGTGTTAAAGTCTAGTTTCAACCGGACCGTGTAATTCCCCCAAACAACGAATCGGAAGGAATCGAAGGAAGGAATCGAATGAAGGCAACCCCCATGAGACTTGTCACCCTCTTTCTGGAAGGTTTAACCTTCACCTTGAACACGCCCTCTAGCGCGCCAACTATTTTAGGGTAGGGCGTGGTGGTAGCCTAAAAGAGAAACTGTGGCCGCGTTCTTAAATCTAATAACAACACGTTTCACGTGAGGTGAGCGAGTTGATCGAGTTAAAGCGGGCACAAAGGCACCGAGACATCGCGCCATAATCGTGCCATTGTACTCGCGTTTAACCACCCGGTCGTTTATTCATTCGCGAGGAGGAGAGGAGAGGAAAAAAAAGAAAGAAGGTAACTAACGACGTCCCACGGTCGCGCGGAAATAACATCGTCGGATTAGCGTGGGTGTTTGACAATGACTCAGAACCGATTATCGCGACGAGTTCGTTGCCGCGAGAATTCCCGTCGAAATATCGAAGGATCATGGAATTACGATCCATTTCGAAAAATTGTTTGTGCAAAAGTTTTTATATATATAGTCGGTTTCCAAAAACGTGTTAACGAACGTGCAATAAGAAGAGCGACCATCGAGGGCCTCGGCGCGTTGCTCGAATTAACCGATTAACGTAATTAACGGTAATTAATACAACTTCGATATTTTTTCCACGAGTCTAAACGAGTATATTTATTGCTTTACATCGTGATTTTTTTTTTTCTCTCCGCATTGACACGGCCGAAATGAAAAGAAGGGAGGAGAAAAGCGGAGAATGGTTCCGTTATCGCGGATTTTCCTGTCGGTTCGTGGCTCGTCAACGAGGACGTGGCTTAATCCATTATGTAGCTACCGCGTTGACTCTTGAAGGCGGCTTTTCAAGCGTCGCGCACACAAAGACGCGCCTCTTCTGTTCATCCCTCGTACGGGCAAACAGTGATATTACCACGGTCAACAACAACAATGTCGTCCGCAACGATGGAGGGCCGCATAAAGTTAGATTCATCCATATCCACCGATTTGCAAAATTCGAACGAACCGTTTATCGCTGTGACCGAATTCAACATCTCGCTTCGAGAGCCTATATCTCGAGTTATGCCATACCATCTTTGAGATAAATTGCGGGTGATGTAAAGGCTTAGAGGCGAGGAAAATGAAAATTGTCGGCAGAGAGAGAGAGAGAGAGAGAGAGAGAGAGTTAAGAGGACTGAGAAGCTAGGAAGTTTTGATGATGAAGTATACGGGATCGGGATGGAGGCATAACTAGAGGGAAAGAGAGGAAGGGCGAGGCTAAGCCGAGGTAAGAATGCGGGGGAGAGAAGAGCGTGGAGAGTAGGGCACGGATGGTGAACAGCTGCCAGAGCCTATGGTGGCCGTTTTGTGTGAACGTGCCCCCATAACCCCCATACTCCCCCTTTCCCCCTCCCGCTTACGCACTCTCCCCCTCACAGCCATTCGAAGCCCTCTTGTATACAGTCATCCATCTATCCCTTCGCTGGCTCCCCGCCGCTTGCAAAGCGATAAAAGCGCGCTCACGACCCACGTGCAAGTGCATGCTAACTGGTTTACTTGATCGATCCGGCTCCGAAAATCTCCAACGTTCGTTTCGAACGGAAGAAACCGAACGAGAAAATCGAACGTGAATTTTTTCTTCCTCTTCCATTCGTCGATCCTTGTCTTGGAAAATCGATGGATGGACGGGCCGAGTTTAGAGAATTTTGAGACGAGAAGCATTTTTCTTTTTTTTTTTTTTTTTTCCGTCCACAGGGACGAGATAAAGAAACGAAATGAAGCAGCAACCGGAGAGTTTTGCTGATGCGAGTGACGCAATAAATTATAACGCGATATCTCGGCCGGTGTGGAAGGGCAGAATGTCGGCGAACACGATGGAAGCATGCAAGAAGAAACATCGGAGCGCGTCGTTTTGTTCGGCAACGGTAACATTGTTGTAACACGAGAAGATATTGTCCACTTGACAACGGAGCCACGGCTTGGAAGAGAATCACTCTGGGTGCACGTGATGCCCAACCGATACACGCAGTCTCTACCTTTTCGTTCTGCCTTTAGAAAATCGTCAACGGTTCTCGATTGTTCGATCGACGATATCGCAGTGTCGCGCGCGATTCCGTTAAAATTTCGCTTTGGATTGTAGTTAGATAGGAGAGGAATCCCGTGCGACGATTTTGTTAAATAATCGCGAAATAAGAACAGATAATGGGACAAATGACGAATGAAGCGAAATATCGACCGAGTCGAAAAATAACCGAGCGATTGTTTCGCGTATCTGGTCGATCATCCCGTTAAATGTTCTTTCTTTTTTTTTTTTTTTTTCCCGTCCCCTCTTTCACATCGCCCAAATTCCAAATTGAATTTAAAACGATCGAAACGTTTCGTAATGTTGGCCAGGTAAGTAGTTGGAGAAGGAGAAGAGGAAGAAGGCAAGAAAGAAAGAAAGCAAATGGAGAAAAAGAAACTGGATATAGACGAAAGAGAGACTTGAGAGGGAGAAAGAAGAAGAGGGGAAGTAGCGAAAAGAGACGATGGTGGTGGTGGTGGTGGTAGCGATGGTGGTGGACGTTTGAAATGGGCGAACGAACGGAGGTTCGAGAAAAGGCGGTCCTCGAGGCTTCTTGTCCCCGACGTTTAATTTCAGGCAGTCCGAGAAGCTCGTAACATCTCTGCAGTGTTTAACATCGAGAAGAGGGCCTTGGGAAGAAGATCAACCCAGAACCAGTTCTCGCGCCTTAAACAGGCGGTTCTCACGCATTTATAGCCCTTCATCACGCTTTCCATTCGACCTAATTGCCGCGATCGAGCCCGTGAGAACCACTGTTTCGCCTACCGAAAAATTGGAAATCACGCTTAAAATCGAAGTTAAAATTTCGGTTATCAATTTTGAAAAAAACGATCGATTATAACGAGCAAGAAGAAAAAAAACAATCACCATATTTCCACCAAAATTGTGCCGACTGTATAACAAGAGGACAAGACGAAGCGAAAGAAACAAGAATTAAATAACATCAATCGTGGTGTGAACGATAGTTGAGAATTACTGACTCGAGATTTGACGATTGTTTCATGATCGATAATACGGGTGTATAATACGTATATATGTAAAAGAATGTGACTTATTTAATTCGAACGTTAATGAGTCGCTCGAATACTGTATTTGACACATATCTAGTACGTTCGATTACACGAACAGCGAAGAGCGCGAACTTTCTTGTCTTTTCTTTTTTTTTTCCTTTCGTATTATTTCGTTACGCGATTCCCGCGTCAGCGTGTGGACGTGTTTCGAAAGGTAAGCCGGGAAACTGGAGTTTACGCTAGCGGATCAAAGAAAGTCAATGCCGTGACGTTTCCACGAGCTTTTTTACGGTATACTCGAAATCCCGTTATACGCGAGATTTCGCCTCGACCGCGGTGAACTATTTAAAAAGGAGCGACAAAGCGTATCGAAAGAGGTCGATAACCGGCATTCGATACGTGGAATTTAAGAATCGCAAGAATTCGACGCGAGCCAATCTTTTTTTTCGTATAAAATAATAATAATTTCTGGACGAACTTTCGTTGTGTGAACTCATCATAGAATAAAAGAAAAATCGATTTCTGTTCTATTCTGGAAATCGTGTTAATAATATTAAATTTTATTTTATCCTCTATGACCTACGATATCGTTCACGGTTAAAGAAAATTAAATCGTAATATCAATTATTATACGTGCGTGTAAATGAAATACTAGATCGGATTATCGACTATCGTCCGATTACTCTACATAATCGAAATAATATTTAATACGATATGTTTAATAGTTTTTTTTTTTATCGTTACTTCGATTTCACCTCTGATTCCCTCGTACACGAGAAAAAAAAGAATAGTATTTTAGGTTGGCGATACGAAAGTCATCAGCGAGGAGAGAGAAAAAAAAGGGACATATACCGGGGGTAGAGAGGATACTACTCGAATAGGAACCGGAACTCGCACTTCGTGCTCGGAATTGATTACACGATTGCACATGTACAGCTGTGCATATGAATCAGATAAAAGAGTGTTGGGGGAGTTAGAAGAAACACGATGCGCGAAGAGAGGTTATCGTCTCCGTCATTGATTTCTTCGTCGCACGAAAATAAATCTCCATATCAGGGGGAGAGCATATACGCGCTCACACGAGTAGGCAAACAGAGGCAGACGCTTTTAAAACCGCAGAGACTGATCGAATCGAAAATCATCCAACAAGAATAATGCCTCGAAGATGATCCTATCTGACGTGATCGCTAAAATCCAACATCTCTAGATTTTCTATCTACCGAGCATCGCGTGTATTATATTTATTAGCCATATCTGTTGCGAATCTCTTGTTCTGCGATTAATTAATTAATTGATTGACGAAAAAAATTATTGACATTGGGATGGAACAATTATGTATATATTTCGAATCTTAAGTAATAAATTTAAGTTGTTTTTTTCTTTGAAAAAACAAAAAATAGAAAAAAATTCAAACAAGAGAAAAATTAGATTTATTTGTACTTATATATATAACCAGTTCGTGGAAGAATGCTATCTTTTTCCAACAATCACTGATCCGTAACTCACTTTGACCTAGCTAACCTTGAATTGATCAACTTCGTGTCGCATATTGTATTAAGAATGCGAAATAAAAATACAAGTACCCAACCACAATAAATAAGACGAGTTCATTCTGACGACCTTGTATTCTGCTTTGAGAATCTTTCGCTTCGATACAATACACATCTCGTATCTGCACGTTCATGAAAGAAACGTATTCTACGATATCGTAATATCACGAAATGAACAATGGGCAATAGAAGTTAAAGAACTCTAACATAAAAATATTATTATTTCGACTAATAACCATATTGAAGACTTAATATTGATCCGATATCCGTTTATATATTTCTTCTATCAATTCCCAATTACAAAATGAACTGCGTAAATTGGTAATGTCAGATGACGCATAATTTGTATCGAGGCAGGCAGAAATTTGACGCTGTCAACGAGAACAAAATTTTATATTGGGATCGTATAAAATATATCGATTTGGAAAATCAAAAATACGAAAATATATAAAATTTCAAAATTCAATGAAACAAACTAAAATATGTTCGTTCAAAGATTACTACTGACCCACGTGCTACGAAATACATTTTCATAGAACCGGCGTCACCCGGCGAATCGTTGTTACCAAACTTTTGATTCATGATCGAAGTAATGCAAATCAACGAGTAAAAAATATATTTATCGGTAATCGAAAGGCGTTTAAAATTATAGAAAACTTTTCACTTACTTTTAACGATGAAATATCCTGGAAAAATCTGACAGAATACGGATCCCAAGCACTTGCAACAACACTTCACTCGAGTATGCCGGTCACTGCGCTTGTGCGTTTAAATTCACTAACCTCGACAAAAATACTACCGCCATCTTACGCTTTAAAACGCCAACTAGTTTATCCACAAAGCCCGTTCACAAAGGGACGGTTAAATTTCTGTTTTTATTATATCCAGACGAGAAACAAAATAGTAGTTAATAATTAATTTCAAATACATAACCGACAATTTCTTTTTAATTATAATACTTATAATCATGAAATATCTAAATTATATATATTTTTACTATATCACTATATCAATATAATATTTATAACCTTAAGTACTTACGCATTACGATTCGAGATGCTGGAAATTTTTATTAACTGTTATTTCTCTTTAATTGAAATCATTTTTAGAACTGTTATTACTTGTAAACTTAATAAATAAAATATTTTTACATATCACAAATAAGACACAAATAGAAAAATTGATATTGAATTCTGTGATTATAAATACATATTTGGTTGTCATAGAAAACAAAAAAAAAAAAAAATGAAATCTAATTAGTTAAAGAAGATTAAAATTAATTTTAAGAAAAAAATAAAAATTTAAATACTTAAATTTTTTATTATTATAGTTACAAAATTACACCATGAAAACTATATCCATATTTTTTTTTCCATGTCCAAAATAAAGAAATCCGTAATGCGGACTATTCAATTTATGATAAAACATCATACCAGGCCAAAAGAGATTATGTAAAATCATTAATTTTTCATGTATAAGCTGTAGATTCCAACATCCTAAAAGAGAATATATCGTACGAAAGAAAATAATCTTTTAAATGTTTTGTTAAAAATTTTCTAATAGAAAATACCTTGTGGTACATCTATATCAATTGCATCTAAAAAATCTATCGCATAATTATAATCAGGCCTCGTAAGTAAATTAGTATTCCATTTTTGTTGTGGTAAACGTGCATGCAAATAAGATTTTAAGTATAATGCATCTGTAGTATCAAGTCCTTCGAAACTTAAATTTTCAATTACGTCTCCATTGGGACATTTAAACCATGCACCACGAGGAATTATCATACTGTCTTCGTTAATTATCTCTACTGTAGCTGCCAATCTATCTTCTTCTTTCAATTCTTTTGGTATTGGACCCTATATATTAAAAAAAGGACACTTTTAAAAATTACATCGTAAAAATTACATTACTATTTCATTAATTTGAAGAAATTTTTAATTTTTTTATATAATATTTTTTGCTTACATCATAATACTTTCTAGGATCTTCATTTGGCGGGAACGGAGGATTAATATTATAAACGTTAGTGACTATAGAAGGATCACCCTCGAATTTATTAATTGTAAGAGGTGTTAAGAATCGTGCGCACTTATTTGCTTTTGGTAATAATAGCCAATTTAATGCATCCATGCTAATTCAAATATTTTTATTTTGTAATATTTTTCGTGAAATATTTCTATTATTTTAGATAAGATTACCTGTAATAATACACCTGATTGTTCAAACAATCTGTTTCAAAACCAAATGCGATATGATAATCATTTCGAATTCCGTAGATTTTACCCCAATAATAACACTTCTGAAAATGATTTTCTTGTTGTAATATTATCAGAGAATTTTGTAATAATTGTGAATTTTCTGCTCCCACACATATACCAGCATAACCAAAAATATCTAAACTTTCTAAAAGTTTTAAACATTCCATCTTGTTTCATGTATTATGTATTGAAATTATTAACAACTAATTATAAAAACAATCGAAAATAAGATATGATTTTCACATCTTAAAAAGATTAATTATTTGATTTAATTTATACTATAAGACAAAACTTAGTATCTTTATTCTCCAATAGATGGATTCATGTAATATGTAATAAAAAAAAAAATACAGATAAAGAATACGTTAATTTCGGAAGTGTTTATTATTAACTTTATATGAAATAAATATGTCATCGTCCGAGGAAGAAAGTGATCAATTGATGAATTTGGAAGCTATAAGAGATAAAATGTTAAATCAACCACGAGGTGAACGTATGCAAGTTAGTGCTTGGGAAGATGATGATGATGGAGTAGAAGCTGAACGCAATGCAAAAGGTTAAATAACGAATTTAAATTATGAATTTTTTTATTATCAAATTATATAGTATATTGATATATTTTTTTATAGAACCTGATGCAAAAGAAATTCTCGCTGCAGCGGAAAATGGTGATTTGGATAAAGTAAAAAAATTATTAACAAAAAACCATCGTTTGTTAGAATGTACGGATAAGGATGGTTATACTCCATTGCATAGAGCTTGTTATGGTAATCATGTGGAAATTGTAGAGGTAAAAATTATTATATTTTATGAATATTTTAAATTTATTTGAAATATATTTTTTTAAATTTTATAAGAAATATTCATAATTAAATCTATTATTATTTTTTTTATAGTATTTACTTCAAGCAGGTGCAAAGATAAGTGCTAAAACTCAAGATGAATGGCAACCATTGCATTCTGCAAGCTGCTGGAATAATGTTGAATGTATAGCAACATTAATTGCAAATGGTGCAGATATAAATGCTAAAAGTAAAGGAGATCAGACACCTTTGCATCTAGTATCTGCAAGTTCTCATAACTCTCCTGCATTGCAACTTCTTTTATTGCATCCAGATACAAATCCAAAATTAATAAATTCTAGTGGAGATACTGCAGAACATATTGCAAGGAGAACGGGAAAATATTATCCAATGTTTGAAATCATTGAAGACTGTTTAAATGTTATTTGAGTCTATTACTTAATATATTCATTAAATATGTTTATATTACATATAAGGTTATGAACATGAAAAATTTATGAAATTAAAAAAAATGTATAATCATATCATCGATATACTCACTATTAATACAATTTTGTATAAATGTTGTATGTTTTAATACAACAGAGTATGAAAATATATTGACGCAATATTAATAATAAAAGTGTTGTAATAAAAATTTTAAGTATAATATTTTAGCATTTTTTTTTTATAATAATCAACAATTATTTTGTCAACAGTTATTTTTGCATTTTTAAATTACAAATATAATAACAATCATTTAAATTTATAGAGCTTTGAGAACAATATGTTTCAAGTGATTCTAATAGCATATAAAACTATTTCAATTTCAGTATTATAATTATAAAAAACTTTCTTCTCTCTCTCTCTC